TCAGTATACCTGTGGTGGAGGGTATCCAAAGATCGGTCCGGCCGAACTTAACGCTTTTTCACTTGTTTAATAGTAAAGCTAGTAAAAGGGAAACATTTCAAGTCTCAGAGTACAAAATAATTTGAAAAGTTCGGGAACGCAAATCTAGTAAATATGCCAAAATTAGATGGCAATACTTCAAAATCAACATAACAAAAAGTTTACAAAGAGAAAGCCATTTTGTTTTGTGCTCTCTTAAATTTGATTCAATGCTTTACCAGTTTTATGGGTTCAGGAACGGTTTTCGAGTAAAAAGTTGCAAAACTTGTAAAATTAGTAGATTCTTTTAGGTTTTGGAACGGAGCTAAAATAAAAACGACGACTGAAAAAATTGAAAAACGTTCCACCTGCTAACGAATGGGAGGAGAAGACAAAATGGCCGATAAAGATGAACTCAAAATGGTATAACCGAAAGTTTACGAATGAGGTGGGATAGAGACTAAATGGAAACCGTGTTGTTTACGAATGAGGTTTAGGCAAATTATGATTAGGGATAAGTAAATCGACTTTCGATTAATCGACTTTTTGTATTGAAAAGTCTAATGCCATGTACAGACGAGCGTTGTTCCCTCTCTCATTCGTGGTTCGACTCTTATGCCATGTTCTGACGGGCATCCGAACAACGTAGTTCGCTCTCAGAATTACGTACATGAATTAACCCGTTCATACAACACTATTTATAATTCATATCATCAGAGTTTTTTATTTCAAACTTTTTGTTTCTTGTTTTACACCAAATATGTAACATATTTTAGTGAATTACATAGGGATCTAAATAGAAAAAATAATTCTCTTTCTCCTGACTATAGTATGAACCCATATCTATTTACTTTTCATTCATGTTTTCCATTTTTTCTGAAAATGTTGTTGTTTTTAATACATTTTTATATTTTCTCAATTCAAATGTCACATACTGTCACAAATAAAATTTTGGAGAATTTTTTGTTTGAGTTGCCCCACATTTGTTTCTTGTTTTGTACGCTAATTAGAACCAAGGGAAAAGAAATGCATATTGCATTATGTAGAAAACAAAATTTACATCCTGCTGCATATATAAAAACTATACAATTTTTTACTTTTCATTCATGATTTTCAATTTTACTGAAAAAGTTTGAAAATTTCATAAATATTTTCAAACTGTCAAAATTAATTTATTTTCATAAATACTCTCAATTGTTAGGGATGGGACAAATTTATTGGTTATTCAGAGAGTGATTCGAATTGAACAACGTACAAAAGTCGGTGTTCGCTCAGACAATTTTGTATGGGGAACTAAGTAATTCCTTCATAATTAAGGGTCGAACAACGAATGAGAGAGCGAACAACGCTCGTCTGGACATGGCATTAATTATGAAGTAATTACATAGTTTAAAGGAACTACATTAAGGAACTAGTTCCTTTTTAAAAAAGGAACGAGAATGATCGATCCGCTACGTGAACTAGATTGCCCAACTCTACAGTTGCACGCTAAGGGATCGCGCACACATGTTAGATTAAGGGTTTGGTTAAATGTCTTTTGTTATTAATAAATATTACAATTAATCGTGATATTGTTAAAAGCCACATAGCCCAATATGCCTGATGAGCCGCTTAACCAACGGCCAAACTCGTCGCATAATGGTGGGTACCTTTTCATTACAAAACTTAGATTATTAAGCTCGACTCGAAAGAGTATAAATAATCACTTAACGTTACATTTAATATTTTTATTTAAAGGGAAATTTGGTAAAATTAAATAAAATTGTTATATTTATTTATGCTTTGATTGCAACATTTACTTTAAAGGATGAGAATTTATGAATTTGTAAATTATTTTTGTAGCATACTTTTAGGCGATCGGATAATATTACAGGGCAGGTTATTCTGTTTTATTTACAAAAATGCATGTAAAAAATGTTTGAATTCTGCCGTGTCGAAGTTTTACACACATTCAAAATTATTATTTTTTGTTTTTTATTTTTATCTAATGAATTTGCTTGGATTTTTAAGAATATTGGTGATGACCCATCAAATTAATAGGCGTGGATGTTTTAACAATATTTTTTGATGATCTATCAGATTAATAGGCGTGGATGTCTTAAGAATATTTTTTATGACCTATCAGAATAAAAGGCGTGGATGTTTTAAGAATATATTTGTATGACCTATCAGATTAATAGGCGATCCTCTTCAGACCACGAACGATTTTAGGACGTATTAATTCTTTCCCCAATCAAGAAAAGAAGTTCTAACAATTAATAATTTGACATTTTTTCATACCATTCATTCCTACCTCGTTCCATTGCTGTTATTTACACCGCTTGTATACTATAATAAAGCTAGCTTCGAAAACATTTTAATTTTTTACTACCGCTATTTAAAAACTGGACGTATTAATTCTTTCTCCAATCAAGAAAAGAAGTTCTAACAATTAATAATTTGACATTTTTTCATACCATTCATTCCTACCTCGTTCCATTGCTGTTATTTACACAGCTTGTATACGATAATAAAGCTAGCTTCGAAAACATTTTAATTTTTTACTACCGCTATTTAAAAACAAAAATAACACCAAAAAGATGTTCAAGAAATTCATTTCAACGGTAATAGTCGATTATTTAGTTTGTAATGTTTTTCCTTAGTTTTATATTTATTGTCAGTGCCCTACAGAGCACAATTGAGTCCATACCAATTGTGGGAGGGAAACCAGTTACAAGACATAACCAATGGGGTAAATATTGTAAATGATTTACAAATGTAATTAATTTCAAATATGTTTAATATATATTTTATTATTACAGATATTTTGAAATATCCTTATATGGTATCGCTCCAAGAACAAATCATTGCGACAGAAAATCAAACGTATTTCAAACATTTTTGTGGTGGCACACTTTTAAACGAAAAATGGATTTTAACGGCGGGACACTGCTTGTGGCGGAAGTATGTATCTCAATATTATTAAGTATTATTAATTTTTCTTGGCAATATTGGAAAGAGATTTATATTTCCTGTACCCTTTTAGTATCTTTTTAGTCCATATTGTCTACTATTATTTTAATAATATTTCAAAACATCCGACTTTTTCAATTATCTTTAACTTCATTTGCAGAAACGTGAACACAGTTTTTGCAGTTATTGGTCATGAAAACTTAACAAATATCAAACCGTGGGAACGACAACCTGTGGATAAAATTGAATTTATATCTTTTCAACCGTAAGTAAAACAACCAAAGTGTACGATGTAGTTAAAAAGAGCAAGTTTATATGATAAACCCATTTTTGAAAATATTTTTTAAGTAAAAATTTATTTTTTACAATTTTATTAAGGAAAAGCGATTTTAATTATGGCTGGAACTAATTAAAATCAATCAGGAGGACTATCGAAATACCTTAAATGTAAAATGGGTGCAATGTCATGTTTACTCATCAAGTTCCCACAATTCCAAATTACAGCCCCTTCGTACGGACAAAATCGTCAAACTACCGAAAATGTTGACAATATCTATATGGCGCTATACTAAATCGTGGACCGATATTGATAATTTTTCGTTGTTGTTGTAGGAGTTTATACAAGTGTTATTTTCCTATTTTATTCAGTCAGGTTCAGGTTGGAATACCCTAGGGAACTTCCTGTTGTGCTCGTTGCTGGCAGAACCCATGTTGATGATTAGCAACTGTATAGCATTCCCTGACACTGGGGAGGAGAAATGCCTTAAGAGTCTTCGCTACTGGTGACAAAAGCCGATTTCAGCCTGTAAGATTCCCATTTGCTGGTTTCTTGCCTGGCTTCAGTAGCGGGATCACTCTGCCCATTGTTCAGGCTTCGGGGACGTCGTGGGTGGCTATCGACAACTTGAGGGCTTTGGTCAGGTGCTCAACTCCTGGCTCGTCCAGATGTTTCAGCATATACATGGATATTCCGTCAGGGCCGAATGCTTTAGATGACTTAGCGTTACGGATGACACATGCAACATCACCCATTGTAAATTGTGGTGGTACCTCCTTGGCGGGAAGAGATCTTATATGACTCTTCGCTTCACCCTGTCGCTCTCAGGATGCTCCACAAAGTGTCGGTTAAAATTTGCTGGATGCTTCTGCTGGGAAATTAGATCTCATCGGGTATTCGACCAGCAGGTATAAATCTGGCGGCTGCAGCTATATATGATGTCTCGGAATTTCCTCTCTGCTACCCGTACATCAGAAGAAATGGAAAGTTTTCTGAAGCTCTGGTTGGTGAACTCTCTTTATCCTTGGCAGTTAGTTTTTCTATGGCTAAGGAAAGCGCGGCGTTCAGAGGTTATGAAATCGGGCGGTCTGCTTATCGAGATGATTATGTAGAGGTGGTCTGAGCCAAAAGAAAGGACGAGCCAGTTGACGTCATTTATAAGACCAGTCAATGAGAACCCGAAATGTAATATTAGAGCGAAATAGGATGAAAAACCTGCCTGGAAAGCTCAAGATACAGAATACTGAATACCAAAATATGGACGATATATCAATTTTGCAATATCAAACATATCTGGAAGCTCTATCTTGATTCCGGCAGACAGACGGCCATGACTAACTCAACATAGAATTTTATTCGGATCAATGATGTATACATAATGGGGTTTCCTTTGATGAGATGTTGCAAACGGAATGACAACTTTAACTTTTAAAAATCATGTCTTTGACAGATAGTCGGAAAAATATTATATTCATGCTTAGGCTTAATAAACCCAGGATTAATGCTGTGCGTGATAGGTAAAATCCAAAAAGCCGTGATTTATCTAGAAATATTGCCTTAAAATTCAATATTATAGTATTGGATATATATTCTAATAGTTGTTTAGAATTATTGCCTTGGATATATTGGATGATCTGATTCGTCAAATATTAATTAATTGTTTTAATAATTTCAGAGCAAGTTTACAAAATGACATAGCGCTGGTACGTTTGAAATACCCATATAGATCACTCTACCCCGGTACATCACAATTTAATTTATATGGAAAATTACCCCAATATGGCATGAAGGCCTATAGAAAGGGTAAGTTTTAAATACTTACAAGACATTTTCATAAAAAAAAAACTAAATCTATTTCCAGATCCTTGTAAAATAATTGGTTTTGGTGCCAAAAACCATGCTGGTTTATCGCAAGATAATCTTGAAGAAGCCGAAGTTTATGTTATTAGCAATAAAAAATGTCGCCACTTATTGGGTTATGTATGGTCACCACAAAAGGGTGGCAATACTGTGTGTGCAGTGGGTTATGGTCAGGATACATGTCAGGTGGGTTGGTACAATTTTATTTTTAAATAATAATAAATTGTGTTATATATTTTAATCCTCATTACAGGGTGATTCTGGAGGTCCATTGATATGTAAATATAATGGTGTTGATTATATTTATGGCATTGTATCACATGGTTTAACCTGTGGTCTTAGTGGTATACCAAGTGTTTATACCGTAACAGGTCCTTATATTGAATGGATACGTTTGGTGATAGGTTATTAAATAATTAAACATTGATAATAAATATTAATGTTCGAAGTTTTGCAATGAAAAAAAACATTCAAATGACAGACAAAACACTACTAAATAAAAATTTACATAAAAATGAAAAAAAGTTTACTTTGTTGTAAATCAATCGATTTAATTTAATAAATGTTTGTCTATTATAAATTACAAAGAAAAAATTAATAATATTGGAGAATGTACGTTCTACACACTTAACTACGTAATACATATAATATAAATTATTCTAAATTATAAATATAATTTGTAAGACAATACTACTGGGCATTCCAGTAATACAAACAAAAAATATAGGAAATGTGAGCGTGTGAAAACAAAACATTAAATTCTATATAACTAAATTTGTTAAACTAAAACACTAACACAGAATTTTTTGTCTAATAACTAGATATTAATTTTTTGTTTTATTCACATCGTCACATTCGGTGTCTGTTGTGTTTTCCGATGGCACCTCCTCAACACGATCCACAAGTTTACCAGTACCAGTTTCAGGTAATGTTAGGGTTAGCAGACCAGCTACTAGAACGCAGCAACCACAAATTGTCGTTGGAATATACCAACCCAAGGGACCCTGTATGATTGAATGTAAAATAAAAATAGAATTAAAATATTTAATAAATAATTTAAATTTAATAATTTCATTTAAAAAATATATATTTTAAATGTGGTTGATTGATTAGACAAGCTTACCAATAAATCGACAGCATATGGTGCTGAAATGGAACCAACATGAGCCCATGTTGAACATGTTCCCAAGGCTGAACCACGAATTTCAGTGGGATATAATTCGGCTGTGTATAGAGTAACTACAGAGTATGTGGCACTTATTCCAAAACGACCCAGCATAGCAAAGGCGACAATCCACAGAGTGTTTTCTGAAATAAACAAATATATTAATTTTTAAATTAAAAATAATAGTCCTATGTTCGGTCAGGTCGAACTTCATCGAGAGTTAGACATAAAAAATATGAAGTTATCTTAAATATATTCTGTGTAGAAGATGTATATCCTCCAAGAACATGAAAAGCAAAATAACAGCAACTTCGTAAACCTCAAGATACAGAAAATTGGGAGACCAATACATTCGATATTGATAATTTTTGGTAGATGGACCCACTGAAAACTAAAAATATATATTTGCAGTCAACAAACGGGGTTTCAACGTTCATTAAATTTTATTTATAATTTGAAGGCTTCAATGTATGGAAGTATAGAATTACCTGGACTGATATTAAAAAATTGGTAGGAATATTTTACACCCACTGAGAACCTAAAATACAAAATTATAGCCCATTCTGTTGAATAACTTGCCCTGAATTCTAAAAAGATGAACATCGTTTTATAGGGTCTACCGCGAAACATGGGCCAATAATAATAATAATTTGGGAATTAAAATTTTTTTAACGAAGATAATCCACAAATATAAAAGAATGTATAAAAAACGTATATGTATAAAACGTGTCTAAAATAGCCAACATACCGAATATTGGTGGTTATATCAAAACGTGGACCGATGTAGTATCTACAAAATTTCTAACCTCTATCTGAAATATTGCGAGCATTACGGATGTGTGACTGAACAGAGAATTTAATTCCAACAAATATTTCAAGGTGTTGCAAACGGAATTTTAAATGACAAATAGACCCCTCCTTATGGTTGTGGGTATAAAACTGTAAAATTCGACGCTTTGTTAGATGCTAACAAAATCTTTTTAGAAATCCATCTATTCCGATCAACAGTTGGGAAAATATTCTTTAAAAAATCTTTGAAAAATATTAAAAAAATATTCTTTAAAAATCTTTTTAAAAAATCCAGGCTGAAAGTTTTTTTTTTTAAATCCTTGAAAATTCCTTATTCTTCGTTTATTTTTTTAATACACTCTCGGGTAGTCTTGTGAATATCGGTTGTAAATATCTCATAAATAGTATAAACATCAAATAAGTTCTAATATTTAGTTTACTTACCCGGTGGCACAACCATCATCATAATCAACGCAGTGCCGGTTAAAAAGAATAACGACATTGTTGTAATTCTACGACCGGTACAGCGTAACATAATGACGGGTAAAAGTAACGAGGGCAGATCAACCAGGCCCGTAATTGCAACATATACATGACGACTGACATCCATGTTGGAGGCATTTAAAGCTGCAAGAAAATAAATTATATATAAATTTTAGCAGATTATATTTTTTCAAAATGTGGATTTAAGAGTGCTTTAAGAGTGGAGTGGTAGCAGATTATATTTTTTCAAAATGTGGATTTAAGAGTGGTTCAACTTACCCGTAACATAATACGACAACGATGTAACACAGAACATAAAATATGAAGTGAATATTAATTTGCGTACTTTTGAGGTGGCAAACAATTCGATGATGTGCTTCAGGGGACCTTCTCTCATTTGTTGCCATTTGGAAATGCTGGGTTCTTCCTATAATTAATAATAAGGGTATTGTTAAATACTTGTTTTTATTTTTAAAATAAGAATACAAATATTTAATGAGAATATAAATACAAATATAAATCAATGAGCAAGTCGGCTAAAATGGGATACTCTTAAATTTGTGTTTGGGTCAAAAATATTCTGGCTACAAAATCCATATTTAAAATTGTAGTAATTTTCATCACTTTAAAAATTTTGTTAAAATTGAAAAGAATAATATAAAAATATATGTATGTATATTAATTGTTAAGAAATCTTATGAACATATCAACTAATAAACTTTAAGGCAGGTGTTTCATTTTCAACACAGATCCGGGACGCTCAAACTAATAAAGTTTTATTATACAAATTCCATTGGCCATTAAAACAAACATCGCCCCCTATTGTTTGTTAGTGATAATGATACACATTTGCTTGGATTTTCTCTAATAAAGAATTATACAATAACAATTTTAAATTAATCGCTATAATTTGGTTGCGCAAAATTTAATCTCTTTGAACTTTATTATCTCCTAGCTGGTGGTCGTCTGTCTACGTCATAATGTCAAAATCGTGTGAATAATTGAAACAATTTTAATTGGAGACCTATAACCTATTGTGTATTTAATCTAGATTATACATGTAATACGAATTATCTATCAAAAAAATTTAGAACAAAATTAAAATATTTTTTTTTTTTTTGAAAATTATGAAAATTAAAGCACAGGTCAGTATGTTCATGTATATTTGTATTGGTATGAAATTTGGTATTGGTCGGTTAATTGGCGTAAAATTATTTTTGGCTCAAGTAGAATTTAATTTAAAATTGCGAGAAATATGAGTGTTCAAAGGTTTTCCTCGAAATTACAGTTATGTAGTTCGAAAACGCATTATCCGATCTTCATATGTTTTTCATACACGTATTACTATGTGTTTGAAAAACATATGAAGCGAGAGGATTTTTTTAATGTTTAGACGGATTTATGACGAAAACCTGTCCTCTTTTTGTTAAAATCAAAATTTTGACCTTGACAGTTCCACATTTGTTTTAGTTTATATTTTTAATTACATTTCGCTTAATGACAATATTATAAAGTTTTTCATAATCCCACAAAAGTATCTATCGGTTTGTTCGTTTAAGAGCCACAGCGGGCAATGCAATCTGCTTAAAAAAAAAAAAAACAGTGATCCGTAGGCGGACAATGACTAAAGGGTGTATATCAAGATAAAAAATTTATTTTTTGGTATAGATACGCTGTATAATGGACGTTCAGGATATTTCACTTTGTATTTACAACTTTTGTTCTTAAAATTCCGGAAGTGTTCCGAAGACATCATCCCTTTAAAGGGATGTGAACTTTGTACTCCGGTATTAAGGAGCATCTAAGTACCTAAAATTAATTGGGCTTTAATATGTGGGCTAGAAAAACACAGACTGAAACTTCAATTTTCCTGCTAAGATAAACACCAACACCGGACCTTTGAAATTATTATAAAACCGTAAGAAAGCTTTACACACGTTGTTGTCGAATATACAATCTTAAAAAAAAAATCTAACAACATCCTTTAAAAAATATTCGTTAAAAACTTTACATTAAAATTGGACCATTAAAAATAATCTTTTAACAATAGTATTTCTTTTTTTAATCCTCTGAAAAGCCATAATGCATTAGTATAGCGGACTTTTATAGGTCGGATGTTTTCGGCGTAAAAATGAATTTACTAGCATCTTGATAATAATATTCGTCTTCTTCTCAGACATATTGGTTTTTACGTCATTTATCTGTCAAATGGTTATTTGTCAAATCGCTATTTCCCTGCACCATGAGGCTGACCTTCGAAATATCTATCTAATTCCGAAAAAGACGCGAGAAAAAGAGTAGGACTATACGACAACGGCTACCGGTATTGATAATTTTTGGTAGAGAGATTTGACAAATTACAGCCATTTTGGCTGAAAATGTAAAAGTGCAAAATATTTCTAATAATGGGGGACCCCGTGATATGGAGGCTAGTTGGTAAATTTTTTTTTTCCAAAATCGATAAAACACCGAATATTGAGTGGGAACGTAATATGAGGGCTTCGCCAAAAAGATGACCGTTGGTCGACCATTTGTAGTACCAAATATTCGAGTAGTACTAGCAATATCTGTACAATTTTTCAGAGCTCTATCTTAAATATTCCGACCCTATCGTGAAAGACATAGAATTTTATTCTGATCACCGGTGAATATTTCGAGGTTTACGCTTTTGTTGGACATTGATATCTCAAAACTTAGACCAACATTCAAAATTTTCTGCTAGAACGCTTTTTACCGAATCTGGATTGTCAAATTGCTGTTAGAATTAAAGGTTTTATACCAACATGAATATTGATACGCTTCTTGTTTTGATTATCATATTCGTGGTAAATGTGTTATGACGAACGTAGTAAAGTATATGCAAGTGATCATCACAGGTTACATGCTGTATGCAAGTTATTGGTATTTGATAATATTGATATCACTATATTTACTTTTCATTCTATCTCATGTCAGCTCATGAACATCGAACAATAATGTAAACTGAACTTTTACTTAAGATAAACTCCTCGTGTTTTAATTTCTCTGGACAAGACGAAAACTCTATAGGATATTTCCATCAATTGCAATAATTCCAAAATACCGAACCTTGGCCACATACAAAAACGTAGAATACTAAATATACTAACATGGCTAAATCGAAATCTTCCGCGAACATTTCAAGATGTCACAAACGTAATTAAAAAATATTTACAAATTTTCAAATCTTACAATTTTTTTATCACTGAGCATGGACGAATCAATGTCCGCCTTCTTAATTTCATAATGGCTGGGCTGTTTGAAGACAATTTTGTAGGCGCGTTCGTAACGTTTTTGTGTTATAAGCCAACGGGGCGATTCACGCATCAAACTGTAATAAAAATTAAATAATATTTTTCTAATATTCAAAATATTTAACAAAACTTACTAGCAATTCAATATTAACAACATGGCTGGAACAGTTAAGGATAACTGTAAATATCTCCAATGATCTGCAATCAAATATGAAGCCAATGCCATTAGCATCATACCAATGGGATAGGAACCCGAAAAGGCCAATGACATCCAGGAACGATGTTTCAGGCAAATGTTTTCAACCACTGAAAAAAGAAAAAAATATTTCTTAAATAATTTAATTGTTCTTATCAAAAATTTGTAGTTATTAAATACGTACACATAGCATAGGCAGGATAAAAGAGGCCAGATGATGCTGCACCCAAGCCAAAGCGACCAACCAAAAACAATGAATACCACGGTGAGAATGTGCAAAAAATACTGGAAACCATGAAGAATACTGCACCCAAGGTAAAGGCAATCTTGCGGCCAAATCTAATGAAAATCAATTTATTAATAAATCATAACATTGAAAAAATCACAATAACTTACCTATCCGATATCATGCCAAAGGAGAATGAACCAAAGAATTTACCCAGTGATATGAAAACCTGGGCCGAAGTCCTTTGTATGGCCCTTTCACATACCAAATCCCAATCGGACACAAAAGTACCTTCCGGCGCTGAGTATTGATATGAACCTCTGGCCTTACACGAGATCTCTGTGGGTAGGCTAATTTCAGACATTGCCGCTGTATAATTATAGGCCTCCTCATAGGACATTTTACTCAACTCCCTATAATCCCAATCCCATATGGTACAGCCTTTACTATCGAGATCTTTGTGAACGATTTGACGTTTTTGTTCTTCGGTCCAATTGGCCGCTTGCAATTCATCGACTTCACACCATTGATCATCGGGCAGATAACCCAACATTGTATAGGAATTAACATGGAAGCCATTGAGGATATTCGGTAGGACACAGAGGAAAAATAAGGACCTGTAAGATGGAGAAAAAAAATATTTAAAATGTTGTACAAACAAATTTCAAAAATTGTAAACGAAAAATGAAAACAAATCGTAAAACCTAAAATTAGAGGTGGTGGAACTGAGCGTATTTTCAAACATTTTATTTTCTCTTCAACACTTCTGAGAAGTTCTACAGATATTTTTATTAAGAACATTATGAATAACAATATGAATTTAAATTACATGACATCCATCGTTTGGGAAAGGGAAAATTAACTTTCTTATGAACTTTGAAGGACATATTCTCCATAGGTCAAAAAAACGAAAATTATTATTTTTGTTGTGGTACAACAGAACTTTTCCACAATTTGCTTAAATTTTGGGAATTGTTTATGCACAAATTTGTGACCAAGATGACATGTCAATTCTAATAATGAATATTTTTTCTTCCAAAAAACTAATAAAAAAGTAGCCCCCATACTACAACGGAAATGGGACATAAAAGTCAAAACATACCTAAGACAATTGAATTAAAGTATCCGTAAATTAAAGATACAAAATACCATTGTTTAATCTAGTTAGTACATATGCATTGAGACATATGTGTGTACATTTAATTGTGTAGTACATAAGGTATAGATTTTTTACAACATAAAGTAATTTCACTTTATTTATGGAAAGAAGAGAAATGGATACCCAAGGTCGCATCCAAAGAAAATGCACAAGAAATATATATAGTAATACGTAATCAAGGTCTAAGACTTGAACAAACGGAGAAATGCATTTTTTGTCCAGTGAAGTCCGGTAAAAGTTGGAGATCCAATAGTTCAACTACAGAAAGGGTAGTTGGACCTAACCCGTAACTAGAATAACTATTATACAAGTTTGCGTCCACGAAATTGGTACCAGACAGGCCAAATAACCAAGTTGGCAGAGTACGAGAAGGAAGGCTTCTAGAAAACAGTGGGGGCAGCGAACGCGTTAACTCGAATTGATTTCTGGCATACATTTTCACATTTTGCTAATATAGTGATAGTTTAAGTAACTTAATCGGCCCATGTTTTGCCATAGTCCTCATATAACTGTACCCCCGATTTTAAGTATGTATATTCGACGTTTTAGACACTTTTTCGACCAAATAAGAAGTATTTTGGCCTTTGCAGGTCTTACAAAATATCGGTCTAAGTTTTGGTATAGCCTAAATATAAGGGTACCCCTCATTTTTAAATTTTTTGTTCAAGATTTTAGACACGTTTTCAAACCGTATTGATATCATTTTGGTATTTCTGGTCCCGTTTTAGGTATAGTTCCTATATATCCCCACAATTTTTACTGGTGGAATGCTACAAGAGAATATTGTCGATGACGTATCTTTTGAGTTTCCAGGCCTCGTATAGGCATTTGAAAAAATAATCTTTAAAAACCACGTCTTGTATAGGCATTTGAAAAATATTCTTTAAAAACCACACCTCTTCTTTAAAATATCCACGACTTGAGAATACTTATACCCTCCAATATTCGGTATTTCGGGGATTTTGGAAGCGTTTTCCAACCGACTTGGTTGTAATTTGGCATTTTGGTTTCTCCATGGTATAGGACAGTTCCGTACGAAAAATTATTATATTAACCCAAGATTCAGGGTAGCCCCATATAACGGTACTCCCCAAAACTTGATATTTTTGGTTATCATTGAAGAACGGATATCGATCTAAAAAATGTTTAATATTGACCGAAGTTTCCATCTAACGGTACTCCCAATATTCCGTATTTTGGACAGGTTCTCCAAACGAATTGGCTGTGATTTGGTATTTTGGGTTCTCATTGTATAGCACATCTCCGTACTAAAAATTCTTAATTTCCACCAAATTTCAGGGTAGCCACCCCATATTCGGTATTTTGGGCTGTTATTTGGTATGTTGGGTTCTCATTGGAAAACACAAATTTTTAATAATGACCCAAGTCGACATTTTGAGAATTTTGTACACGCCTTTAGCCGAATTGGCTGTTATTTGGTAATTTTTACTCTCATTGACTGTCAAATTCCACTACAAACAAGTAAAATGATGTCAGCTGATATTGACATTTTTGAATTTGTATGGGGGAGGTACCAGAAGGAGTGGATCAATGGGTCCCATCTTCGAAAAGGATCTATGCTTGGTAAATATAATATGTTGTTTAAAGTTTGGTTCAAATCGGGCATCACATTCACCTGATATTGGATTTATAAATATTGAAAATGTTGACCCTTTGTGGGGAAGGTATCAGAAGGAGTGGACCAGTGACTCCCATGTTCGGACTTGATCTATGTCTAGTAAAAATAAAAGTTTGTGAAAAGTTTGGTTCAAATCGCCTGATATTGAATTTATACATTTTGAAAATTTTGAACATTTGAGGGGGAGGTACCAGAAGGAGTGGACCAATTGGTCCCATTTTCAGACTTTATCTAGGCAAGTTTTTGTTTAAAGCGGATAATCCATTTACATGATATTATATAAATAATTTTTACCACAATTTCGACCATTTTGTGGGGGTACCAGAAAGAGTAAACCGGTATCCCACATCATCGAACATGAACTAAGTTTGGTAAAAATATTACGATGTGCAAAGTTTGGATGAAATCGGATACTGCCCTCGAGAGTTATCGTTCGCACCCCCGGCCAGACAGACAGACAGACGGGCGAACATTTGCAAATCGACTCCAAATTGTCAGAAACGTATTTGGTTTAAAGAAAAATGAAGTCTAAAACCAATATTTAGCCATAAGCCTGAGGGTATACAAAATATCAATATTGATTTCCGTTTTATTATAGCCCCATATAAGGGTAGCCCCACTATTAGATATATTGAAGTTCAATAATCTCTTTCTCCCGAATTTTTCCTCTTAGAAGCGCCCATTACTTTTAGATATTTTTATTGTCATCCTCATGGTGGTTTGGTTGACTCAAACTTTTACATATGAAAATGTTTTATAATTACCCATATGTAAACTCATTCTTGACATACTGTACGCGAAATTCAAGATCATGAAGTCAAGGACTCGAAGTAAGTTGGGTGTGTCCGAAAGGTTGTTACTACTATGAAGCATCTGCCTTTCGGAAGTTCCTCATAATGAAGTCAAGGTTGTTTCCTGCGAATCGGTATGACAGACTATATATAAGAGTGTGTATTCATATATTTTCCAACGGATTTAACTATTATTTAACACTTCGAATTGCCTCAACGAGTAAAGAATACCTTTGGATAAGTTATCTTTGGCATATGTAATCTTGCAATTATAATAACCATTCCAAATAATACATTTGTATTGCCTCTGTGACGTTTTAGCAACACAATATTATCTTTTGTTTGATCTAAATCACATACACACATATATACTGTTTCATTGTACACATTTTGTTAGTCAATTACATAGTAATTATACAAATCAAAATCAAAGCATCTTAATAAGGGAACAATTAAAAATGAAAATTTTTCTTCTAAATGTCAAGAATATTAGCAAGGAAAAATTAGCTAAGACTAATTTGTTTGGTTGAATGCGTTTTTATTTTATTTCCCACTACTGACATGCAATGCAAAAAGGCATACAAACATACATACAATTTTTCGAACAAGTGTACGTTGTCATTGGCTTACAACAAGTTCAATGTTATGTACATACTTACATACAACACAAAATGTGCATAGAAAGTAACGTTACACTGAACTAATTAGTTGCACACTTCATTAAAGATTTTATTTCAACTATATACATATAACAAATTGAAATATAATTATTAAAAAGTTTTGCAGTTCGACATTATTTTAAAATTTTCAAAATTATTCGTTCTTTTAATATTATATGAAGTGCAAAAATCATCTAAAATCCATCCACTTTGCATTAATTATCCATTAAGTAATGTTAATTACTAAAATTTATAATTCTATACAATTAAATAATTTCAATTATGCATCAAATAAAAAAAAAACATAAAGAAATAAACATGCATTTCTAATTACAATTGTATTAAATATTTTTCTAATTATTTGCAAATAAAAATTCTTGTATTCGATTATGATAATAATTTATGTTAATTTATTATTCAACAATTTGTTGCAACTTTTTGTTTTTTGTTAGATAATTAACTGAATTCTAATTTTAATACAATCAAGAAAAACATGACCACCTCAATACCAGATAGCGTGTCCGATCAATCGATCGATCGAACGAACCAGCAACAACGTTATATTTCGTTATGCTATTTCAATTTCGATTTTTATTTGAAATAAAAGTTGTTTTCTGGGAGGGAGTAAATAAAAGTAACGTGTAATGCAATAAGGTCAATGTCGGGCAATAATTAAACATATTTTATAGACGTAAATTGATTTCAATCAAATTTATAAAATAACACCGAACATTTGCATAATAAAAATTAAATGTCGTTAATTTAATTAAAACTAAGTTTACACAGTGCAACAAAATGAAGGTCATTGTTAAGGCAAATGAAAGTTACACATAGTAATCAAAATATTGTCACCTTGTTATTTTATTTTAGAGTAGGATATATTGCCAACTAACCGCGCTCAATAGTTTGCGGTAATTTTTTATACCCTTCACCACACTGTGGTACAGGGTATTATGTCTTTGTGCATATGTTTGTAACAGGCGAAAAAAAATATAAATTTTTGTCCGATTTAAGGTAAATGGTGCACTAAAGTCCCTATATATCTTTCGATTTGCACGAAATTTGGCACAACGTACTAAATTAAGTCTAGAATGATATGTGCAAAGGTTCGAGCAAATCGGTTCAGATTTAGATATAGCTTCGCCCGATTTAGGCAAATAGTCCACTAAAGTCCCTGGAAATCTTTTGATTTGCACGAATTTTGGCATAGTGCACTGAATTAATTCTAGAATGGTGTGTGAAAAGTTTGGAGAAAATCGGTTCAGATTTAGATATAGCTCCCATATATAGCTTCGCATGATTTTAGGTAAAATATACCCAAAGTGGTGAAAGGTATCATATAGTCGGCCCAGTCCGACCTTAATACTTT